CTATTCAGCTGGACTTGACTACGTGTACCCCGGCGGCGCTGTACCTTCCGTCGTATCTCCTTACACTGCCCCACTTGCTTACACTGGACTACCCGCTGAAGCTGTATACTTACGCTGAAACACAAACACCCACCAACTGTACCTATCAGTGTCACAACCAATTTTTGTTTAAAAATCAACATTCATCCGCAATAAAAAGTTATTCATCAATTAAATTGGACTTGTTTTATTGTACATTTCGCCTGAAAAAGCATAATTAGGATAAACTTTCTACTTTTAAATAGGTAATATCCATACAAATTTTTATCTTTTAAAACGCAGTAGAAGATGCCAAAATACTTTTGCAACCCGTAGCACTCTAATGCTTACGACAAATGCAATTGATAAAAACCTGTCAATTATTGTAAAATTGTAAATTGGTAACTACTTGTATTAATCCACAATTTTATTTTTATTATTATACCTAAACGATTTTACATTATGGCATTCTAAAAGGTTTATCACATTATTTCATGTAATTATGGCACATTTTGGGGAACCCTTTTTTTTTGAGAGAGACCTATATTCTGCAGCAAACAGTAAACCGCTGATATGAATGCTGATAATGACATGTTTTACTTTTCTTAAATATCTTTGAATAAAATATATAAAAAATGCAATTTGTAAACACTGTACGTGTAGCTAAATAGAAAACATTTTCCTGTTACCAAAGATTATTATCATAAAATAATTTTTCATCACCTTCATTATAAATTATTTATACTATTATTATAAAGCGGAAAGATTTGATTATTTGTTTATTTGTAATGGACAAATTAAAAAAAAAAACATTTATGATTTTGAAAATTCTTTCACCTGTAGATGTAACTATTTTATTAACGAATAATGTAGACTATATTATTATATTAGTTTAAAAAATTTTACCTACGCATTATATTTGTAATCCGGTTACAAATAAAAATATTATTAAGTAATCAAACTAGACAAATGGATAATAACACTTTATGTACTGGTTTAAACGTAATAACATTATAGACACGAAAGTTTCTAAAGATATTTGACTGTTGAATTTGTACGTTAGTTACTTAATCACGCTTTAACAACGAAATAGATTTTAATTAAATTTGTATATAGATGCACTATATCTTATATTGAATTATTATACAGGGTACCTACTTATAGCTCTTTTATAACGGGCAAAGCCACAGATCAAATATAGTATCATCGTCACGTTCGGAGTTCGGAATTAAGAGGTATTCTACCCAAATTATTTATTTGTTTTATACAACTTAAAATGGCAATCAAGCTGACGGCCCACCTGATGCAAAGTGGTAACCGTCCCCTATAAACATGAACATTACCATGGACATGACAATATATACTGCGTCGCCCATGATACCCTTTATTTATTATATACACCATTCCTGAGGACTTATTTTAGTTCTCAAGAATGGTGTGTATAATAAACCACAGGTACCCTTTTTTTATGCAACTTAGAATCACAAGCAAGCTGACGACCCACCTGATAGAAAGTGGTAACCGACAAATCCAATCCAATCCAATCGACAAATGCAACTCGGCTGAACAGCGTTCGGAATACTACTCCACTTCTTCTCGTCCAAAATACCTTAAAGTTTGATGATGAAAGTTTTTAACCGATTATCACTGGCAATATTCCAGTGATGATCTATGAAATCGAATCATTGTTCTACACGGTTGGCAATATACAAAAGGTTTAAGTTACTCGGGTATAGAGAAGGTTATGCACGGAGTTCCTTTACGTGATAGAATCCGAAATGACGACATCCGCAAAAAAAAACCAAAGTGACCAACACAGCCTAAAGGATAAGCAAGTTAAAATGGCAAGGGGCTGCTCTCATAGCTCGAAGAACCGACAACCGATGGGGAGGAAACGCTCTTGAGTGGCGATTCCATAAGGACAAAAAAAGAATAACCCCCCACTAGATGGAATGACGACCTCAAATGCATTGCAGGCAGTCAATAGATGCAGGTGGTTCAAGACCGTTCTTTATGCCAATCTATAGAGGAGGCCTATGTTATGAATATAATATGATAATGATGACGTCTGTATATAAAAATTATTTATTATATATTATTTATTAATAAAAAATACTTAAATTGAATTGAGAGGCCTTAAGGCCTTAGCTATAGAAATCAAAACTTTTAGAATTTTTTTAGAATTTTGTCTAATTGTCCATATGTTTGTTCCGGCATCACAATAAAGCTGCTGCACCAAATTGAATGCGGTTTTTATTGGCGTGTTTCTGAAAATCTAAGAAATCTAGTAGATATTTTATTTTGGTAAGCTATCTAGAAGTTTCAAAATGCACGCGTATGACTTTGCGGGCAAGAACTAGAATAAAAATAGTAATAATACTAGTATATAATTTAAAATTATACTAATATTTACGAAAATAAAGTATGGATTGATTATTAACGATGTTTCCACTTATTAATTATTCGGAAATTTAATGTTTTGACCGCTTGTCTCAAAGCAGCAACTTAATATTATATATTATATGCCCATTTTATTTACTATGTTAATGTAATAGCCAACCGAGTAGCCGGAAAAAAATAAAAATAAAAACACAAGTTCTCTGTGGAATAAATCTAACTGGATCGATTAAAAGGTTAAATTGGAAATTTATTAGTATAGGTCAGAGTCGAAATCTTAAGACGGTAAGGTTAAAAAAATATATGTATTGACGTGCGTAAATGACCAAATAATGTCGTATTATTTTACATGAACTTATGATGGACTTCTTGATTTTTCATAAGTAATTGGCAAATAAAAAAATACAAATTTCTGCCGTGAAACAGCTATGTGTTTTGGTTTGAAGAGTGGAATATTGCAGTAAAATTACGTCGTATGGAATGGATCAGAAATGAATGATGAATGTATCAGGAATGATAACGCATAAGAAATACCATGGCTAAATCTATGGCATTCCAAGCTGTTACTCATGTCTATAGACGACGATTACCACTTTCCATTAGGCAGACCGTCAGCTTGTTAGCAATCCCATGTTCCATAAAAAACATTGTTAACAGTGTAAAAACCATATGATTGTACCTGAATGGTTTAAAATACAAAGTACATTGAATAACAAAAGCTTAAAACAATAAAGATTTTTATCGTTAAGAATTTGTACTCATGAGCTAATGAATAAAACATCTTCTACGACTTCAACTTACATTGTTGTGCCTGACTATTATTTAAATAAACTTTATGGAATTCTTGTAAATGCGTATTAGGCGTTATGCAGCAAATAGATCGAATATTTGTAATCTATTCAAAATTTACATGTTATATATTTAATAATATGAATTTTGCTTGTAGCTGCTTCATTGCCATATATTGCTGTTGCCAGATGGCAGGAAATTATAATTAGGTATGTGAAATAATTTTTGCCTTGTGGTTCCGAAATAAGATGAGTCACTCCCTCCTTTCCCGCGGGTGTTGTAAGAGGGAACTACGCGAATTTAATGGTCGAGGGACGGACAGGCGCGTACTTATTAAAACAACACCAAAGTCTAACAGTTGTCAAGTGTGGCAACTATTGATAAATCCCTTCTTATGGGGGAGGCCTATGTTCAGCAGTGGACCGTTAACGACTGATAATAATAAAATTGTGAAATAATAAATCCTTACTAATACTTCGTTTTAAACTTTTGTCTTCTTTACAGTTTTTTTTTTTTTTATTTTACCAATCAATCGTCCCAAAATTTAATACACATATCCAATTATGGATGGAAAAGAACATAGACGTATGTTTATCTAGCTCAATATTCTGGTCACGTGGACGAAGTCACAGGAAAAAACTTGTTAACCTTGGTGTTCATAGAAATTCGATATTATCATAATACCGAATTTATTTATTTTATTTATAATATCTCCATATGTTCAAAGGACAGAAAGGTAAAGTGACCTACATTCGAATAGTTTTCCACAAATTTCAGGTCTAGAATCTTTTCTAAATTACAACATTTTCCAAAAGAATTTTCTAAAAACGTTTATTTTTTATATCAAAAATAAATATCACTTATATTTTTTTAGGTCAGTATTATAACTAGATAACGTTTTACTTACAGCTCTTAAATATCAAGCCCTAGTTATTACATAATATTATTCCATTCTGATTAATATATTAGTTTCATCTTATGTAAAATAGTACCTACCATAAGTTAGGTAACCATTAAAATTAATGAAAATAGCTACCTTAATCATAAGAGCAACAAGGAACAAACCCTACAGATGGCAAAAATAATTACCAAAATTAGTTGTGAAATATATATATATATATATATATATATATATATATATATATATATATATATATATATATATATATATATATATATATATATATATATATATACAATATATCCCGTGTTATTCACTGATAATGTATGTTAAAGGTAGGTAATATAGGTGATGAATTTTTTTTAAATCAATTGGGTTTTTTTGAGTTTATCCTTTACAATTACAAACAATCCAATTTTTGTTGTTTATTATTCTCTACTTTTATAAGTTTCTCAAGAAGGAATAATTTCTCAATCCAACTAAAAAACATTAAATTTTTATTTCAACTAGATACCTACTTATTTATTTACCAATTTTATTAGCCGTTAAAGTTAAACTTTAATGGCCAATAAAATGTAGTACAAAAGATTGACTTTATGGCATTTAGTATTCCTTACTATGTAGCTAATCTTTTGGAAGTGCAGAGTTACTCGAAGAATAAGAATAGAAGATGTAGAAAAATAAAAACAAATATATGTATACGTAATTTAATTGTCAACAAGTAGTTACTTACTTACCGACGTAGTTTATGCTAATTGTGAAACAACTTTATTGGCTATTTTTTTTATTAAATAATTTTGAAGTTATTTATTACAACGATCTCATACTATTTAATAATTAAAAATAACTTCTATTAAAAAAAATATTATTAAACATTTTTTTCTCATCAGCATCAGCGCAGAATCAATAAATGGATGGCGTACAAAGATCACCAAATAAGGTGATGTATGACTTCACAAAAAATGTGCAAAACTTCCGGATTGTAAGTGTCATTATAAAAATGTCAACCAGCGAGTACCACGTGGAAGATCTCATTGTGTCTCAAGATCAAGGTTTAAATTTGGGTATATATTGGCTGACAATTCACACACAATTACATGCACGTAGCATTCAATCGCTAACAATGTTCTGCAAACTGGTATGTATAAATTATTTATTAGAACATTTAAAATGGATAACTACTGTATTGCATGGATATTTATTTATAGGTACAGTTCATTGCATTCCTTCGTATTGTGCTACTAAATCAATGCGAAACTTAATTATTTCATAGTTTCATTGTCACCGAAAATAAATTAAAGGGACGAATAAGTTTCTAGTAATCGGAAATGGCAACTCGTAAGCTATCTAATGTTAAGATAGTGCTGTTCTTGTGTATAGGCTACAGTAGCCAGTCCATCGTGGACCGACAACTGGGTTGCCATTATTATGCGCAAAAACAGAAGTACCTGAAGCTTTCATTTAATTGTTTCTCAATTCAAGAGAATTTTCTTTGTATAATTTTGATAAATCTTTTTATTGGTTTCACTCTAATTTTATAGTGATAGGAGGTTTATTTTTAATTAAAATCTTAATTATTTATTAGTATAACTTTTTATTGATTTTTTATGTTTTTAATTGATTAGCTATATCCCGCTGCTTTGCCCGCGTAACTCAGTAAACATATAAAGTATCCTATGTACTAAGATATAACCTACTCGTGAATCAAATTTTATTCAAATCGGTTCAATAGGTTTTGCGTGACAAAATAATAAACATCCATCCATCTATAATATTAATGGGATAATACTTGATTTTTCTGTTTGCAGTTCGCTCTTTTCGCCTTTGTAGCCATGGCACTGGCTGCCCCTAAGCCCGCTCCTGCGCCCGCACCCGCGCCCGCGCCTGCTCCTCAATTGCTCGCTTATTCGGCTGGACTCGACTACGCATACCCTCTTGTATCTTCCTATGCTGCACCACTCGCTTATTCAGCTTATCCGGCTGGAGCAGTATACTTTCGTTGAAATGATATCTAACGAAAGAAAATGACCGTATACCAATTTATTCCAAATTACATTAAATAAAACTCTTTATGAAATAAAATTTTATTTTTACACTCAAAAACTACAAAAAAAGTCTTTTTTATCTTGATGTAAATCTTTGTTCAAAATAATTTATAACAATGTAATCTTTGTTCTCAATAAAGTATACTACTCGGAAAGAACGTTATATTTTTTTATGCAACTTAGAATGGAAAACAAGCTGACGGCCCGCTTGATGGAAAGCGGTAACCGTCACCTATAAATATGAATAGTACCATGAACGTAATAAAGTATGCTGTTTCACTCATGACCACCCATGCATAGCCATTCCTGAGGAGTGAGGTGTATCTTATAAATTTACTGCCATATCCCACCCTTCAAACTGTCAACAAACACAGTCAAGTAAACACAACTGGTTCACGGTAGAAACGCGAAAGGGACAGAGGTATCCAAGCAAACGACTATATATATATATATATAATTGTATTTACGCTTGTGAAATTAATCCTAAACTTAGGTCTGCGGAGTCTGAACTGGATTGAAATATCTACTATCTATGGCTATAAATCTCAAACCTCGCTCCAAGATCTTACAGTATCGGTATAATGTTGTTAGTTTATAATGACTGTATCTGTATAATTATTATTACATATTATAATCCCATTTTAGTATTGTGATATTAGTATTTTATTTATAATAGTTATTATTCTTTACGTGGACTTTTAACGGATTCACAATTTTTATGATGAATACAGTGAACGTAAAGTCTGCGAGTATTTAAATACTAAACTTGGTATATACATATATATATATATATATATATATATATATATATATATATATATATATATATATATATATATATATATATATATATATATATATATATACCCCTTTAAATATTGAGAATTAAATACTATATATTCCAAGAATAAGAGTATTTAATAGCATCAACATAAATAATCTAGACAAGCTTTACTCTAAAGCCTAATATACTCAAAACCTCTTTCCCGTAAAAATTTCAAGAAATTATTTCGCGAGAGATTATTTCTTACATCTCATAATAAATCTATGTACTAAATATCAGCTTTGTAGCTTAGATAGAACAAATACTACAAATTTTAGACGTAGATTCCTTATGGAATTGAGAATGTCAAAGTCAAAGTAAACTATATTTGCGTAAGATTATATAAAGAGCTTTATACAAAATTTTTTAATCATTGTTTTTTGTGATTCCACTGAATTTCTTATCATCTAAGAAATAATAATCTATATACTGAATCGTGTTCTAAAATATTCAAAATTTTATCAAATTTCGTCCAGTGGTTTTAGCAAAATACGTGCATGGACACAATAAAAAATAATAGGTATTTAAACACGGTCTAGCCACCGTTTTATTATGCGTATAGAAAGAGGATATATATATATATATATATATATATATATATATATATATATATATATATATATATATATATATATATATATATATATATATATATATATATTACCTATTTTATATATACATGTAGTACCTATTTTATAATACATATTCTATTATTTATAACAAAAAAAATTACAATTGATTATTAGAAATTAAAGAATTTATTATAGAATTAGTTTTAATATTGACCGTGTCAGAGTAAGAATTCAATGTGTCACAATTCCTTTTTAAACGTATTATAAACTTATCTAAGAGAATGAAAACTCATAATAAAATCCTGTGCAAATCCTGAACTTTTATTACATAGAAAAAAACTATTATAGAGTCTACATGCTCCGAGAGACATGTGGGTAGCAATCGTTTATCTAACCTATACAGTATGGGGAGAAAGGGATTGTTAGTAATGAGGTTTAACAGGCCTATTGCTAGCAATACACCCTATCAGGTCGACCTCCACGCGGTTTCGCCTGAAAACCATAGTAATTAATTCTTGTTCAATTGGTCACTACAGCCCACTGACCTGCCTTCATCCTCACCTGTCACCCTTCACTGGTGCTCTGTGAGCATATACCGATAGCGCATGCAGGGTTACCATTCCATCTTCACCCATTAAAAAAAAACTATACAGTATGGTAAGATAAGGATAATAATAAGCTAATTTCCTACTGTTTTCGAGGAGATTTGTGCGTAGTAAAATATAAAATTAATATATATATCAATGGTTATGGTAAGCCTGATATTTATAATTAAGTGCCTTTTACCAACTTAATTACCAAAATAAGTCGATTATATACAAATACAATGATTAACGTGATATAGTCAATACAAATATTTTTTTTATACAACTTAGAATGGCAAACAAGCTGACGGCCCACCTGATGGAAAGTGGTAACCGTCGCCTATAGACATGAGCAGTACCATGGACGTAACAGAGTATATTGTTTCGCCCATGATACCCCCCATGCGTTGCCATTCCTGAGGACTCAGGTGTTATTCCTCTGTACCCCGTAAATTCACGCCATATCCCACCCTTCAAACTGAAACACAACCATGCAAACACAACTGCTTTACGGTTGAAAAACGAATGGAACAGAGGTACTCAAGCAATCGACTTTTGTACAAAGTCTCCCTCTGGTAATAAATCTAATAAATTAATATAACCGTTGTAGCCTGTAGCACTTTCATAAATAAATTGACTCTAACGATACCTCGATTATTAACAATAACTTTTTTATTAAATAATCGAGGCATAATAATGGCCATGATATGTAAACACAGTTTTAATTTCTGAGTCTTTACTTCAAATAACAATATTACTAAGATTACCTAAATATCACTTATGAATAAGGACTATTTTTTTTTTAAATTACACACCGAATCATATAATAATAATAAACTCTTTATTGCGCACAGTAGAGATGTATACAAAAAGTATTTATACAGAATGTGCATATACAAAAGGCGACCTTATCGCTAAAAGCAATCTCTTACAGACAACCTGGAGGACCTGGACAACCATATAGAGGACTATGCTACAATTTTCTTTCGTAATAAAATCCGAAAAGAGAATATCCGCAAACGAACCAAAGTGACCGTTATAGCCCGAAGGATAAACAAGCTGAAGTGGTAATTGACTGGGCACATAACTCGAACCGATAATCGATAGGGAAGAAAGATTTGTGAGTGGCAATACCGTATAACCAAACGCAGTGTCTGACACTCCACTATATGAAGTGATGATTGCAAATGCATTTTGCAAGGAGTCAGTGGATGCAAGTGGCTCAGGATCGTTCCACAGTGGACAGATAACGGCTGATATGATGATGATGATGATGTACGGAGCACTTCAATAATTTGACGTACATTATTAAACTAAACTCTATTATATTTTTATTATTCAGAAAAATTTAGCTGCTGAATACTCAACTAATTTAGTAAAGCAAGATTAACAAAAATTAGATTTTTAAATAATGTATCTATTTAATTTATCATAAAAACTTTCATTTGTTTCAATTATTTTGCAATAAAACATGAAGTTATGATGAAAATTGCTTTATTAACATACAGTAATGATTAAAGAACAGTGTTTAATTTGGAATCATTTCAGCGAAGGTAGACAGCTCCGGCTGGTAAAGCGGAATAAGCGAGTGGTGCAGCGTAGGGGGACACGAGTGATGGGACGGCACCCACTGAGTATGCATAGTCCAATCCAGTCGAATAGGTGAGCACTTGTGGGGCTGGCGCAGGTGCGGGCGCAGGTGCAGGCTTTGGGGCAGCCAATGCCATGGCCACGAAGGCGAAAAGAGTAAACTGGAAGAAAAAAGAAAATAATAAAAAAGTTAGTTTACTAGTTACCCTTGTTACTTTATAGTGCCTTTACGGCTTAACCAAATCACTATAAAATTTGGTATACACGTATATTTTTTTTATATATTATTTAGGCTATTATATTTTATCAGTCAATAAACACGGTGACGTTGACGAAGCCATAAGTGAAAACTTTTTATTATTATAAAGAATAAATAGTGTGTAATAATTTACTACCTAATTTTTGTATCTGGTGAATAAATAAATAAATAGTTAGGCTCTTAAAAAACATCTACAGTTTTAAATTCAAATCTGATCAACAATACATTTTGTTGGCCGGATGCAAAATAATCTAATAGGCAATATACAAACTCTTGTCTGTATATATGTACTTATAACAAATTATTTGATCCTTTGAAATGCATCATTGCAACTGTAATTTGCCGGGGTTCACACAAGCTTATAATAAATTACTACTATAATATAAATTTATTTTTACCTATTATAATTAATTTATTAACATAAAAATAGTAATAAATATGTAAATACGGCTGTTTTGTTTTGTTTTGCTGTTTTGTTTGTATAATTATTATGGGAAGAAAACAAGAAAATACATAATTATAAATACTGCGTATAAAAAATAATAATAAAATATTTAATGATAATAATCGTTTAAGTAAGCAAATCAATTTAAAATTAAGTAAAAACGTTTAAAATTTAGTAAAGAAACCCAATAAGTATACATTTGCTCGTACTAAATAATTGCTGATTAGTGTGTCAGAATTAAATAAAAAAAGTAAATAAAAAAAAATTGCCAACATACTGCTAAGTATTTTAATTGTAATTATATTTTTTAAATAAAAAAATCTATAATTATATTGATTTACGTACCAGTTTGGCGAACATTGTTATTGATTGAATACTTCTGTGTATCTAGCTTTAAGATACTTACATACATACATATCTGTCACGCCTGTCTCCCATTAGGGTAGGCAGAAACAATGGAACGCCAAATGCTTCGATTCAAACAAACCTCTTTCGCTTCTTCCACATTCATCAATCTTGTCATACACACGGGTACTTTTAATTTGGCCCTTCTTCAGCACGTCGCCTATTTGGTCGACATACGTCCGTCTAGGACGGCCCCTACCGACATCTCCATTCATTCTTGCTCGATAAATCTCTTTCGTAATTCTTCTTTCATCCATCCTCTCCAAATGACCAAACCAACGCAACATTCCTTTTTCGATTTTGGTCACTACATCGACTTTCAGTCCACACTTCTCTCTAATCACACTGTTTCTTACTCTATCTTTTAAAGTAATACCACACATACTTCTCAAAGCTCTCATCTGTACAGCATTTATCTTACTTTCATGCTTCTTCTGCCATACCCACGATTCCTTCCATACATGAGTGTTGGTGTCAGTACTCCTTGAATTATAGCAAGGCGAGCTTTGCTCGATACATTTTTACTTGACATAATCGAGAGCAGTGCACCGTTAACACTGTTTCCCGCTTTAACTCTCCTCTCAATATCTCTTTCACACTTCCCATCCCTCGTAAACAAAGAACCTAAATATAGAAACTCACTCACTTGCTCCACTTTTTCATCTCCTATCATAATCTGGCATGCCGTTAAACTTTCATTCCTCTCAAAAACCGTAATACTTTTCAGCTATTATATACCCAAAACTAAACCTTGAACTTCATACACACAATGAGATCCTCCACGCGGTACTCAGTGGTTGACATTATTATAATGACAAGTTATAATCCGGAAGCAATTGTATTGTGGATATATGAAGTCATACCTCACCATATCTGGTGCTCTTTAAGGTACTAACTGGACGATCTGGTGCTAATATCAGCGAGCAAAAAATTGGAGCTCAAAAAACATACCTATTGTATATACCTACCTATAATATAACAAATATCAGCTAGGTACCTATCTAATTAGAACTGGCTTTCTGTTCGCGACGCATGTAAAGTATGAGACCCGCAGATTTACCTATAGATACGAACAATTACATTTTATTGAATTACAGTAAACATTTCCTGTCTTTATCGGTACTCTGCAAGTACTAACTTTAAAAGGTACTTTTTGAAAAATATATTTTTCCTACAAATAGTTTTTAGGTCAATAACGTTTAATATACTAATTTCAAAAATAAAAATATGTACTTTTGCTCTAAAGAAAATATTTCGTGTTATGAACATAATACTTTTTCACTAACGTACCAAACTATTTTTTTTTTACTTGCCTCTGAATCAAATAAAAAAAATATAAAAACACAAAATAGCAAAACAAAAACTCACACAGAATTTATTTGTCACTGTCAAAACACATATACGGATTTACATGACGGCATGGATCCATTGTCATCATGTATTTCTACCGTGAAGCAACCGCGCTTGCATAACTGTGTTTTGGTTTGAAGGGTGGGCATGTTGTATGAGTCGTTAACTGTCCACTGCTGAACATAGCGTCCCCCATAAGAGGGATTTTGCCAGTATTTTCCACGCTTGGCAGGCGGGTTAGCAAACGCAGTTTGGCCTTTGGTGATGTTTTAAGAGGGACGCTGCTACTCATCCCTCGGTCATAAGTTCTCTTAGTTACTACTTACGACACCCACGGGAAAGGAAGGGGGTGGCCCTTATGGGAGAGGCTATGTTTAGCAGTGGACAATAACGGGCTGTTGTTAGTGGATCGTCGATGAGGTATTTGTAATTAAGGTCGCAGTGCGTCTCCATCTACTTCTGCTCACAATCGAGCGAAAGCATTCCACAATAGACTGCTGTGTGGCCGTTCTGATGAGGTCAGTCCATAGCATTGGTGATCCACCCCGAGAACGTTTGCCTTGTACCGACCCTTGGACAATTAGAAGTTCCATACAATTTTCATTCCGGATGATATGGCTGAAGTACTTGAGAATTCGTATTTGAACTGTCGACGATAGAAAAATAAAATTAGACGATAGAACTGAAAATTAAAGAGAGATCTCTCTAATTTTCAGTTCGTTCGTTCGTTCAGAATGGAAACGTGTTTACTAAAATAGCCCAATCCCTCTGTTACCAGTTTAATACAATGTTGTTACGAGTACGCTCACTATAGATAATTAATTTAGGATTATTCATTAACGATGACCAACAGAGTACCTATTCATAGATGTCCGACTGTAAATAGAACCTTTAGCGTAACATTAGATGTAACATCACAGTACGTCACTGTTAAATAATTTGGATAAATCACGTGCTTACTCTATTTAAATCAAAATAATACGTACTTTATAAGTTAGTTAGGTACTTATCTCTAAATTATTTTTAAAAAATTCGAAAAATCTGATACTATACATAAATACAAATATAGTTTCGTTTTAGTAGCCAAACACAACCCGCGGAGGAGGGAAAGGGTTGTTAATAATTCGAACTACCAGTCCCATTGCTAGCAATATACTCTGTCAGGTCGACCTTCACGTGGTTCCCCCAAACTATACTGTACTGTATTCCTGGTATATTCATCACGATGGGCTAACTGACCTGTCATTTCATTCTCACCTATCATCCCTCACTGGTGCCCCGCCAACGTATACCGTTAACCCAGGCGGGATTCTCATTCTATTATCATCCATTAAGAACCTAATACCGCATTTTCAGGGGGAAAGGGATTGTTAGTAATGGAGTCAAATAGCCTCATTACTAGCAATATATCCTATCAGGTCGACCTCCACGTGGTTCCCCCTGGAAACCATCGTATTTAATTCTAGTTGAATTCGTCAGGATGGGCTAACGGACCTGCTTTCATCCTCATCTGTCATCTTTCACTGGTGCCCCGTCAGTGTATACCAATAGCGCAGGTGGGGTCATCATACCATTATCACCCATTTAAAAAATACCGCATTTTCATCATACTTCCTACATTATAGGGACTTTGTACCATAATCTCTGTATATTGTGGTACCTATACAATAAACAATATTTTTACTAAGATTTTTACATATACAGATCAATACAACCGCTACTATCACAATTCATATTCGAACATGTTTGGTGACGTATTTTGATAGAAACAAAACGAGTGAGGTAAAACATTTCTTGTCAGGCCGAAACTTTTCGCGTGGCTATAAGAACAGTATATAGAATACGTCAAGCATGGAAACCTTGCAAAATCACGGCGCAGTCAGCAGTTGAAACAGAAACTACCTAGTCTAATATTAGAATACAATAATTTCTAATATTAGACTATGTTCTATTATAAGCCCAGATATATATTTACCAGAGGAAGACTTTGTACAAAAGTCGATTGCTTGGGTACCTCTGTCCCACTCGTGTTTCAACCGTGAAGCAGTTGTGTTTGCATGGCTGTGTTTCGGTTTGAAGGGTGGGATATGGCGTGAATTTTTAGGGTACAGAGGAATAACATTTAAGTCCTCAGGAATGGCAACGCATGGGGGGTATCATGGGCAAAACAGTATACTCTGTTATGTCCATGGTACTGCTCATGTCTATAGGCGACGGTTACCGCTTTCCATCATGTGGGCCATCAGCTTGTTTGCCATTCTAAATTGTATAAAAAAAACCCACATAAGAGTTCGATTATTTCGCATCTCGATTTACCTAATCGATGGTGGTATTTTCTAATGTAGAGTACAAATTACATTGTATTTAAAATGTGTTTAAACTCTTTTATTTTGCGACAATTCATAGTAATAATAAAAAATAATAATTGTATTTCAAACTAAATTAAATATAGAACAATAACTGTAGTGATAAGAGATGTCTCACTGGCTGACCGAGGGCAGAGGCCCAAGGCTGTTTCGTGTGCCTAACAACGCAACTGGGCAGCTTTAATTTATATAAAATTAAAATTAGCATTTTCTATTTGTCATTAGTAAAGATTTTCTCATAAAATTATTTCCACTCGCAAATCGATTTAGGATTAGCAATAAGGATTTCAAGTTGTAAATAATTGTCTACTTTGACTTAATCATTCACTACTTGAAATCCTAATAAAATATCAATAAAAGTATCATCATCATCATATCAGCCTTTTGCTGTCTATAGTTGAACATGGGGGAGTTTTGCCAGTAGTTGCCACGCTTGGCAGGTGGATTGGCAACCGCAGTTAAGCAGAGACGCTGCTGCCTATACCTCACTCTTTCTTAGTCGCCTCTCACGACACCTACGGTAAAGGAAGGGGTGGCCTATTCTATTCCGAGACCACACTGCTAACGGCTTTTATACACGGCTATAATAAAAGTATGCATATATAATTTTCCCTATAATGATTCCTGCATGATAACTAAGCCAGTGAAAGGGCAGAAAGTTTGAAATAAAACGCTATATTAAGCCGACTAGCCAGCTTGATAATAGCAGGCTCATAATCTCCTCTCATGAAAAGTGCCCTGTAGTGATATTGTAATGGATTGTTATAGGTTTATAGTAGGTATGGTATTCTATTTTGTTTCTTTTCTGCAATTAGTGTTTTTACTCTGCATAATCTATAAGGATATTGGAAAAGCAATATTGCTGCATTTAATCTATTAAACTGTATCTATTAAAGTGATAAATAGAAATTACCATAATAAAACAAAAACATAATTATGTTCACAGGTAAATGTTTTGCCTTTGTGAACGCCTACTTAATTTAATATAGCAGAGCAACAGATATACATATACATATGTATATATATATATATATATATATATATATATATATATATATATATATATATATATATATATATATATATATATATATATATATATATATATATATATAATATTAATAATTTCGGCATTTTATTATAAAAATATAAAATACTAAGATTACTCGTGAATAAAGTTGTTGACTTGTTCATTTTTATACTCCTACATAGAAGTTATTGTGACGACTATATTATATTCGAACTCACGACCATTAAGATCTTTTTAAGAAGATTACCCGATATGTATATAGGCTAACTAAAGAACTAGTATCTAAGTACTAAATAACTGTAGCAAAAACAGAATTCTATTCAATTGAGTATTCTCAATAATTTAATTAAAACTTAACACTACTACAATTTCGTAGGTAGATATAAGTAGACATTTAAATGATATTTTGTTATGATATATATATATACTCGTAAACAACATCCTTGGCTCCGACAAGGGAGGTGGGGCAACGGCATTCAGGCAGCGACAAGGCTGCAACTACGTGTATCAGTGCATGAACAGCCCTCCAACGTTACTGCTCATGCGTAGAAAAACCTTTATAAGGATTGGACCTGCCCGCCCGCCAACAGTTTACGATAAGCTTTACTGAAGCACTCTATGCTTCAACATATATAATTTTCGCGCAATCAGCGGAAAAGTTAACTTAAATATATACAAGAATTTTGCTTACCTTGCAAGACAAGCGACTGAGCTTTCGAATAACTTTGAAAGGGAAAAAGTGTTTACATCGACGTACTTATGAAAAATAAACTGGGAGTCGAATTTGTAGCAAGCGAGAAGTTCGTCGGCGACTTGCCGATGAACATCGGACAGCAGCGAGGACCAAAAAACAATACACGGCGAGAGTCAATCACTCCAAAGATTATAGTTTGTCCACCCATGGAAGAAATGTCGGAACAAATAACGGCACCTCGCGGGGGACGACTGCTGAAATCCTTAAACAGAAAATTGTCTAAACGCAGTACTGATGCCGATTCCCTTGGCAGTTCCAGCAGCAGTGACAGTGTATCTTGTGATCAAGGTCGATCTGACGATCGCTCCTCTTGCTCCGCCAGTGATACCAGTAGCGATAACTCGGAACAACATCGACGTCACCGTTCCACAGTATCACTACGACGTGTATTCAAAAGCTTAAACCTAACAGCGCGTTCTCAATCTTGTTCGTCTACAGAAAGTTCTCGCCAACCAAAAAAACAATCACAACCTAAGCGCATCCTTCGACCTCCAGTCACCTACACTTACGTGCGTGGACTCTCTGGTCTTCCTACGCAAAGAGTACCTCGGCACATGGTGTGCTGTTCTCCCCTAGGCCTCAATCGATAAGGTGCAGTTTTTATGTACTGCTTAGTTTATGGTAGATCATGGACGGAAATTAAGACTGGTTAAGAATTATGTGTAGACTAAAATGCGCTAGAGTTACAAGTTTTCATCATATCAGTAGGTAATTGCTGAAATCGAGGCAATTAAGCCGATGTAACGATGTCTTCAACGAGGACCAAGATTGAGGTGATGCCGGTCACTGCCTAGTCACGGCGCGCCTAGCTGCAGTTGTCTCTGTATACGGAGCTGTGAATTGTTTATTTCTATTTAGAGGACAATGTATAAGACTGGTGTATACCGATTTGAACTATGTTCTATGAATCTGTCAAAAGTATTATTCGGTGTTACTTCACTAATGTACATTACACAAATATTACTGGATATAATAATTTAATGAATTGCACTCTAGAAATTTTACATATTAAATTCATCTTATGTGTTTCCACAAAATGAATACTTTTCGATCACCAAAAATATGCATGCATTTTTCACTGAATGAATTGTGCACTTACGATAGTATTAAGTATGTAAATTAAATATACTTGTGTTTAAATGTAATGACGAAATTTGGATTGATAACATAAATTCATAATTATTCTGTTCATCAAGTATAGTGCCTTTCCAAGTTTGAACTAATTAGACCTAGATATATGTATATAAATAAGAATTGTGTACCTTATAAGATTAACTTAAGATCGGAACAATGTGAGATGTCATCTGTAACAACATGCTACACCACGTTAGAGTATTCGATAAATAAATTTACCTTGTCATCACTTTACGGTATTTCAAATATACTTACTAGATTACTTGACTATCTGAACATTGTGGTTCAATAAATTAATCAATTGATATTGCTGTATACAGTAGATAGTTTAAATATTGAATCAATTAGATGTAAGTTATTTTTATTGCTGGGTACCTTTTCATAATTAATAAAAACATGAAAAATATAATGTATTATCATTGATTTGACCTAATCCTTAGATTTTATAAAAAAATATTCGTTTTTATACAAATCATTGTATTTTCATAAAAAAAAAATATATCTCATATAAAATATATCTCAATACTTATTAGTAACATCTAGGTTGTGAAATGAGCTCTTCAGTTATCGTCTTACAATATATTTGAGACATTTCAAAAAACGTGTTTACAAACATTTAAAAGGTCGGAAACGCACAAGCAACTCCACCCGTGTTAAAGCTATTCATGGGGGACAGTAGCCGCTTTCCATCAGGTGGACCGTCTGCTCGTTTGCCTCCCTAACAATAAAAAAATATACCAAAAAACATTCAGGAGTACAAGCCCATTACTTATTTATACACTAACTACGAAATGTACACAATCGTCAATAGTTTTTCCTAAAGTACAGTCATAAATACACATAAAAATGTATTGTCTTTAGTAATCGAAATCTAAATAATAATAATAATATTTTTTTATTAAATTAAAATGTACTGGTACGCCATGGTTTTGACATAAAGCGATGAAAAATTATTCCAATTTCAAGAACGCTTCTGGTCAACATTTATTAAATATTACCTACTGTATTTTATATAAACAAACTATACAATATAATATAGGATATATTTGAGTTTAAAGACCAAAGACCTTGTCGTCAGGAATAGCAACACTTGACAGCAGGTATAGATATCACAGTGTATTCTATGATGTTCATTAAACTGTTCATCTTATCATATCACAGACAGATAGTTGCCACATTTCGTCAGCTTGTAAATGTTACCACTTTACATCATTTGTTTATTTTGTAGCAACATCACAGATAAAGAAAAGATTACTGGCTACTTCATTAAGAGAATAGTATACTCTATTGTTATCCTTACTAGCTAGATAGACATATAATGTATTTGCATCACATACAGCACACAAATTACATTAAATATTGGTATAGACTTAAAAAATAAATAAACCAATACATGTACAAAAAGAATACATTATAAATATGAAAGTATTTGTCTTAATTCCTTAACAGTTTAACCAATCACTATAAAATTTGGTATATACACAATAAAAGGGATAAAGAATGATACAGATAACTTTTTATCCCAGTCAGTAAACATATTACCGATCAAGCGGACGAAGTCGCAAGTAGAAGCTAGTAGTCTATAAAACTTGCTATTGTCACGCCATTTACGCATAGGTTCTCCAAATGATGCCAATAGTATAACGACATAACAGACCATGATTGACAACTGTATTAACATTTGTACCATAGATATGTATATACATATAAATAATAAGCTGTAACTTGCAGTTTTTGGTGCAATTTCCTATGTTATGTTATTCTCTTTATAGCCATGATCGTGTAAATGAATATAAATAAATATAGCATTATGAAATATTTTAATAAATCCATATTAATTTATACAGTAGTTTCAGATAAAAAGTCCAACTTTTTATTTACAAATTCATTTATATACTTGTGCCGCTACTTTCAGAAATCTACCTTACCTTAACAAATCAACTACAATCCTTGAGTTGGAGCCTGGTGATCTATATGACAGGTTATCCTAGGATACTGATGTCTCTCACAAAGATTGTTTTGAATTGTAACCTATGTAACTGTAAATTTAATTATGTTGTTATTTTGTGAGAGAAATAAAATAAATTTTAATTTTATTCATAGTCAATCAACTATTTAAGCGTGATTGAGAAACAAACATTTAAATATCGAAGCTTTCACATCTTACTAATCCTTTTATATAATAAAATTGTAACTGGATGACAAGTATATATGGGTGAAATAATATATATATATATATATATATATATATATATATATATATATATATATATATATATATAAAAGTTTCAATAGATGTAATAGAAACCAAAACGATATATTTTTTAAAATTTTGTCTATTTGTATGTTTATTCCAGTATCATGTAAAACTACTACATAAAATTGTAAATCACTTTGACTATTGTGTTCTTGAAGGTGCAACCTAAAAATTGGTGTATGTTTTATTGGATATGAAATATACTTTTATATAAGAAAATATATCGAGAGAGACTAAGTTATATAGATAAGTTTAGCTCTGAACTATCCTAGGAATAACCTGTCTCACCGAAAATAAACTAGGAAAAAGGCCAGGGTGAACGGCCGCGATGCACCTATTGATCTGGATGTTTCCAGAACTAGCACAACGACCTTTTACTGATATCACTATAAATAATATGCACAGACAGTGATATAATATTTTAAATATTTTCAATATTTTGTACATACTAATAACATTGTTTTATGACATCGTTAATTCGTTATTAAAATAGCAACAGTGTTTCACAAATATTAATTCACACAATATAGACAATTGATAATATAAGTATCTAAAATAATGTACGTAATTTTCTCTAGAGAAAGCAGTAAATTAAACTAAGCATAACTTGTACTATGGGCATATCTATATAACTGATATTTCTGCTGCGTTAAGATCAAACCCATATTTATTTATTGTAATAAATAATTGTAATTAATAGTAATAGATATCATTAATCATATCATTAAATTGGTCACTCAGGCCTAGAAACACAAATGATGAGGTTAATTCTGTATAGAATTCTTTAGCAAATCATTAGGTAAAAACCAATGTAAATACAAAAAGCAATCTAAGGACGATGTTGGCAAAAAAGAGTAACTTATAGTTTTTGAACTTAAACTGCTAAAATAACAATACTAGTAAATATATAATATATCAATAAACGTAAAAACAATATGAATAATAAAAAAATTAAAAACAGCTACCCAATATAAATATATATTATATTATATAATAAACAAAAAATAATACACAAATAAGAAGATTATAACAATTTCATTATTTTTTTAAACTTATGTTCACTTTTTTAACAATATATATATATATATATATATATATATATATATATATATATATATATATATATATATATATATATATATATATATATATATATATATATATATATATATATATATGTATAACGGGAACTTTATAAACTTACAATAGTTGTCATGTCATTACATTTAATTATTTCTATTTCATCCGGAAATCTTTCCAGGGTGCTTTCGTCGCAGCAGCAGTGCGAGACAAGACACCGATATAATAATAACATTATATACATATAGAGGGAGACTTTGTACAAAAGTCGATTGCACCTCTGTCCCATTCGTGTTTCTACCGTGAAGCAGTTGTGTTTGCATGGTTGTGTTTCGGTTTGGTTGGTTTGTGTACAGAGGAATAACACCTGAGGCCTCAGGAATGGCAACGCATGGGGGGTATCATGGGTGAAACAGTATGTGTGTTTACTGTTATGTCCATGGTACTGCTCATGTCTACAGGCAACGATTACCACTTTTCATCAGGTGGGCCGTCAGCTTGTTTGCCATTCTAAGTCGTATAAAAAAAATATTACACTTATAATTTAACTATGTGTAATTTATTACCTGCGAAAACTCTGTGACAATAGCAATGTTGTAATACATATAAGTCAATTTGCAACTACGAAACAGAAGTAACGCCCTCGTGAGTGGCGCCTGATCAGTATTTAATACTCTAGACCGAATTTACGAATTTTATGCAACAGACATATAATTCGTAAATTCGGTCACGCTCACAAATTTCTTGAACATATATCTAATAAAGTCGAAGATGGGAATATTTTATTTTCTTAGCTTATCAACTTAATCTGATTCCTCACAAGTTAGGTATAGAAGAATACAAGTCACAACCGAAATACTAATTAATAACCTTGTTTAGTTAAAAAGAATACAGCTGACGTTTTAAAGTAAATTACGGAAAATACTCGACTTTATCTCGTCGTTCCAATACTGTTCGGTCATCAATTGCTTTATTTCAGCACTGGACAGTAATGTATTTTTGTGCAGCCTGCGTCTTTTACTATCTGCAGGCTATTTATATATTACAATTACATAGTTGATCCAGTAAATCCCAGAAACCATTTTACCTCATACCGCCACCAACCGGGTCTAACTTTTACACATCTTTTGAATATAAAAACTATCCAATCCTCAAGTGTAAGCAAATATTAAAAAACTTCATTAAAATATAATAATCTGTCTCGAAGATCGTGACATGGAATTTCTATATATTAAGATTGTACTTAATATTATTTAAGAAGTAACATTAATTATAACTTTCGAAGGTGGTAGTGTCAAATAATGTAACATAATCAAAGATAACATGTAATCATGGAACCTAGTAAGGTTCATCGACTAACCAAGGTGTAGAGGGATTTTATTTCCATTGCCGCATAAAATATTCGTTAATCGTGAAACTCAATCATTTATTGATGTAGGTACATGAACTTCAACATTAATTGAAAAACTTATTAGGAATATTTTTATTCGCGATTGAAAATATGTATGCCTTGTCATTAGTTTTGTAAATGTATAAGCACACATGCACATATGCTAAAGTTCTTTGACCTGTAAATCATCATTAACACTGACACTGGACGTCAAATTGTACACGAAAGTGTAGGTATTGTTATTGAAATCAACCTTTATCTCTTCTTAGAAAAACTATAATTAAAGTTTTAAGTGCAAATATCCTAGAACGTTAGTCAACAAACCGGCACGCTGACCCTACGTTAGTGTATAATATTTAAAAAAAAATTACGTATATACTATTTCTCCATCTATGATAATAATAATATTAAATGTGTTTGTTTGTCTGGCTCTTATATATTTAACTATATTTTATTTCCTGCTGTAAGTTGATTTGATAGTCTACTCTAAAAATATAAAACAACTCTCTTTTTTTTACCTACCTTACAATCCCGAATTACTATAACTACATAATGAAACTTACTATTATAAAATTTAAATTTCAGCGAAAATTACTTACCTTAATACACGTTGATAAGAAAATAGTCTAGCATAATAGTATTGCTTCTAAGTGCATAACGTTACATGATAAC